ATGAAGATAGCCCCCACGTTCAAGAACATTCATCAAGTTCTTGCGTTCGCGCTCCAGACGATCCGTCTGGTCGCGCAGATATGATACCTCGGAACTCAACCGAGATATCTCCCCGCTAGCTGTTGCCAGCTCGCCGAATAGAGAGCGGACATCCCGCTCGACCTGAAGCTGCGCTGTGGCATAATTGGCGCGATCCCTCGCCCGATCATCCTCGTGATCCTTGCGGTTCTTCCGCACGGTATCAGTCGAAGCGTAGCGCCGGTCGCGCTCGTGCTTCAAGTCATCGCGCAATTCATCGATTGCGCGATTCATCTCGTAAGGGTCGAGATGGTGAACCGAATCATCTGGAGGAGGTCTTTCCTCCTCCACCACATCCTTTGGTGGGTGCTCACGGTGATCAACGCTTTCTAGTGGAGCGTATCTTGAATTACCGTGACGATTCAGGATCAAGGACGAGCTACCTCGTCCAGTGGCGGGGGTACTCACCCTCTTGAAACAGCTGGGAGCCCCGCTCTCAGCTGTTGATGGATATTGAAGGTCTCGTCCGCCAGTATGACGAGATCCATCCGATGAGTCCTCGGGCCCATCGGTAAACACGCGCTTTTGGCGCTTATATACGGATTGCAAGTTTGCAATCGCGTCACGCATCTCCTCCGAGATGTGTGCCCTTCCTTAGGGCGAACTTAGGGAATACACGTCCCTATGTGCACGCTACGAGTTGTCAACACAACTCGCACAAGGTTCTCCCCATGTGAGGCAAGGAATGTCTGCCTCACTCGACAAACAGTGCAACCGGTAACTGGCACCGGTTGGCATTCGCTTTTCGAACCTGAGGCGTGTCGCCTCAAGTTTCTTGAGCCACCCTTCTCGTCCAAAATCTTTACGTTTTGGACGAACGCGTTCCACGCAGCCAAAAGCGAGGCTTTGTCACGCTTTTAGTTGCTGTTGTACCATCGATGTCTAAGGAAGAAATCGAGATAAAAGTCTTCCTCAGCGCGAAAGTTGCTCGCTCTGGGATTAAACCCGTGAAGCTCAGTCGCATCGAATAAGGGTATTCGATGGTGTTGGCTTGTCTCGTGAGACAAGCTATTGATGAGCCGTTCGGGCAAACGCCACGGCTTCAGCTCATCACGCTTCAAGGTGGTACCTTTGTTGGTACCACGGTTGTCAGTATGACGATGGGTTGCTTCATCGTCAAGTCGCTCGTGCGAAGAACCACGAGCTGATTGCGGTGATGAGCAAACATACTAATCATCAGATTCGTCATCACTGCCCAATGAACTGTGTTGCAACTCACGAGTCCGTTCGTTCGGCAGTGGTCTTGGCGAGCACTGAGGCGTCGCCGGTGAGAGAGACGCCTCTGCAGCATTGCCCGAGTCAGACACGTCTGACTCGCCAGAGTAGATGACCTCAATGTCGGGGTCATCTTGCGCACGCGGTGCTCTACCGCGTGCACCTGTAGCACCTCTTGCTGCAGGCGAAGAAGGAGCAGCAGACGACGAATCGTCTGCCGCAGAAGCTGGCACAGGCACAGACTCTGTGTGCCTTGAGTAACCCCGCATAGACATGGTAACTATGCGATATCAGGTTGAGTTATGAACGGAACTGACCAACAAGTGCTCCCTGTCCCAATGGCGCCCAACGGGTGGCCGCCATAATTTTCGATAGTCACACGGTGACTATCAGTTAAGTGGGGTGATGTAACGGGCAGCCCGTTACATGGAAGTGTCACTTTAAAAGAAAGTGACAATAAATAATATGAAGTTGAATATTCTTTAAACAATATCACCGAAGCGGTGATATTGAAGGGTCGACCAAAGAGTCTGGTCATTGGTTGATATCTTGATGATATCAACCAATGACCAGGGTAGGAGCCCTAGTCTTGGGTATAGGACGTGTCATGAGTTCGCATCGGAATGAGATACTCGCAAATAGATTCGAGTTTGAGAGAAACAATTCTAAATCGAGAAAGCAGTAGCTAGGACCCAAAGCGCATGATTTGCCTTCACAACTGATGTAGTCAAGAAGAACAAATGTCCCTTTTGACTAAATACTGGTGAAGGGGACAACTTGCACGGAATGTCATTTTTTGCATTTACCAAAAGTGGGGTCCCGGTCTCGGCTCACACTCAGCCAAGAGACGCGCAAGTAGCCGGTAATTTAGTATGACGAAATATTAGCACAGACATAGATGTGCGCATTGGCTGCAGCCCTGTCTGGGCTCCAAAGTATCTGCTTGCCGACGACGTAGCGGCATTCGCGATGTCACAAAGACCCTACAACAAACGTTCAATTTTTGCGTCTGAGATAGCCTGGCGTAAGTCTTCGGCTCATGGACGCATCTTCGACGCTCTCTTTGACATTACAACAGACCGACCACACCCACCGGTTACGTGAGCTCAACCGATGACTTTAGTACCTTTTAGCTTCTTACCACGTGCCAGTAATCGTTCTTTATTGTGATGACAAAACGATGAGAGCAGTTTTGTCTCCAATTCCACAGGCTCAATAAGAGCCTAATGCGCTAGATGACGCCTTGCACACATGCTACCTCTAGCTCCACTAACATTGGTGGTAGTTGTAATCGAAAACATATCGACATCTGCAATAAATGGTTTGTGCTGTGGTCTAATTGCGACATCCCAGTCTGTCCCTGTCGTCCACGTCCGTATTGCAGCTTGCCAAGGCTTACCAATCGAGACATTTGCACATCTTGATACGTGCTCAAATGGCTATTTCGATGTCGTGGGCTGAACTGATGCCATCTGCAACGTGCTTTTGCAGCGCTTTCACCACCTCGGATCCCAACGACTATGCTGTACGCTCATCGTGCAGGCAAAGCTGTAGTTGGTGGTGACGAGCGCACCTGATTTGAAGCACAATCACTACCATAACGTGCGGTCGATCTGTCGTTTACAAAACGAATGGCATTTTTAGTGCGACCTCACTTTGATAAAGTCGGTCAGAAGTACATGGCAGCTCATTCACCATGCGATAGCGAGCTTGCCTATGGGACAACGACCTGTAGGTAAGCCCGGTGACGGAAAGAGACCGATTCAACTGCAACTGCCTTTGTACATTTCACGTAGCTCATTTCCATCTGCATTTGCGAGCCTGGCGTCCTAACTTTGTAGGAACTACCACAGGATGCGTGCCTGATCCAGATTCTATCCTGCTGGCAGCGCTGTGGCACGTCAGGAGTCGAAGACTCTTCACTGCCTTTTCTCTGACGAACCTGCTGCAGACTCAGCACATCTTTTTCCGTGTCAGAGCTCACTGACTTCGCCAGACTCTTCACTGCTGCTACGAATGAACGCACGAGCGATCACAGACCCGGAAGCCTGAACGCATGGCAAGACGAGTCTAGACCTGGGGATGACTGCAGTGCAGCGTTAGCACATGTCATGATGAGTTCAGTGCTCACAACATTCAGGCAGCTCGTGACGGCTGGTTCTCTTGGACGTTGATAAGTGTGGCTGAGGACAGGTGTAATAATGGATGTCTTTGACTGACCATACCGCGACCCCAAACCACACGGGCTTCCGCAACAAATATTCGTGCGTGCGTAGGTGTTCCCATGGTTTCAACTTCCCACAAGGGTACATCAAAAGCTGCCTCGAATCGGCTTGCGCCAAAACCACAGTGTGCCCAGATGATGATCTCATCGATTCGCCAATCTAGCACGTGCTTGTCAGCTGTACAGTGTCAACCCTCTGCAGCAAACTCGCTACAGCGTGCATGGCACTGTCAGCGAGTTGGCACCCATAGTGCAATGCTGAAAAGCACAAACAGTCTGGTGCAAGTGTCTGCGCATGACGTCGAGCGTCAATCCTATAATCAAGTGGCTTGCTGACTCGTCAAATGGACCCCTGTCAGCTCCATTGATGGACGCAAAAACGCTTCCTGGCTCGTGATCTAGCTTATGCTGCACAAGAGGCAAAATAAACGACTGGTTTTGGGGCACGCTCTGCGATCCCCGAAACGAGTCCCTTGTTCCGCATCTCGCGTGTACGTCTCGAGTCTGCGGAGTCCAATCGGCGGTCAAAGGTATTGACCAAACTGCACCACCAACTGCGGCAAGACGGTAGCGTTCCACTGTAAAAAGCACTATGGCCACCACCGCCGTCCGCACATTAGGCGCTTCATCTCGCTCAATACTTCATACTGTCGTTGTAGACAACTGCGCGATCGTCGTATCCGACACACGTCCTCGAGGAGTCGCTCAGACCAGCTGTAGGATGTCACCCATGTCGTGTACACACATGCAGCGCGGTCGTACCGGTCTCGATCCAGATGGCAGTAGATCCAGTCCGAGTGAGCTGGCGGGTCCGCTGATTGAGTCGAAAGTGCTTGAGGCCCTTTCATATCCATTGACGGCCGCGCAGGAAGTAGCAAGTGACAAACGACGTTGCCACGAACCCGTGTGGCTGCAAGGGGTCCCAGCAAAGTGTCAAGACGATGCGGCCAGAAGGGGAGCAGAGAGGTGACGCACGAGGGAACTCTCGAGGTCAGAAAACGAAGGACAAGTGGGCGCTACTTTCAACGTTCGCGGGTCACAACGCACGTTGCAGTGCGCGTTGCGATCGCCAGTCATGAAGACAGTGGTCGAGTCCAACGAGAAGAAACGAAAGTGGTCGTTTTCTACCTCTCGTCGTGTCGCAAGTTGTGACCGGTGTAGGCTGCGAGAGACGAAGCATCGCATGTTTATGTGGCCGACAATAAGTAGTCCGTCTATAGAGCTCCAACGCGTCAAGTCGGTGCTGTTCGCCTCGTGTGCAACAAGTCCGAGCGTCGCTCGCAGGTCGATCCCCGTTTGCCGCCTTTTTGTACCACCAAACCGGTACCTGTCGTGCGCTTGCTACGATGGAGAACAATACGAGAAGCGCCGTGGAATCGACGAAATGTTCATGGAAAATGACCGGCAACAAGACAATTTACCGCGAGACCGCGCGGCGAGCAGGACCAGCAACAGCGCACCTCGCAGCCGCTACTGACAGGCGATGAACCAGTCGTCGGCGATGGCGCCGTTGGCGTCTCCAGCGGCGGCGGTTGCCGCAGCCCCTGCGATCACGGAAGCCGCCAGAAGGGCCGCGCACGCAGCTGCCAATGCCCCCGACTGGAGTGACTCTGCGGACAATCACTCGCAGGACGACGACTTTGTGCCCCCGCCACAAGGTCCGTCGCTCTCGTACGAGCGCAAGATCCGCCTGCACAAGTACGCCGAGAACCGCGCGCGGTCGTGCTTGGGACTGCTCGCTGAGTCGAGCAACGCGCTGTGGAAAGTGCACGAGTGCAAGAACGACATTGGCGTGTACAAGCCGAGCTCGGACTGGTCCGAGGCCGTGTCCGCTAAGGCCGTGGTGTTTGCCAATGCCGTGTTTCCGAACGTGCTCAAGACGATTTACGATCTCAAGACGTCGGACAAGTTCAAGCTCTTTCTGCGCAAGGCACTGGGCGATATGTTTCTAGATGCAGAAGTGCTCGAAGACCTCAATGGGACGGGCGTCTACCCAAGTGCGAACCCACCACGAGATGCTCGCGAGATGTACAAACAGGCGGCAATCAAATGGTGGGCCATCAAGTCAGGGTCCTTGGCCAGTAAGTCCTCGGACTTCTACGTGCTGGAGGTAAGGCTTGCCAGTGTCGAAAGAGCTAGCATATTCTATTGCGACGCCGCAATGCTTTGTGCTGTCGCGGCATTTCCTCATGTTCAGCCGCAACACGAATCACGTGCGTCAACTACTGACGGGATATGACGTGTTTGTTATTTGTACTGCTGACAGTACATTGGCATCGAGACATCGGGAGGGGACATCGTCGCATGTTATCTCTTCCAGGAGTCGCTCGCAGAGGTAGGGGGTATGCCACACATCCAAGGTAATAACTTGGAACGCTCCCAATTCGATGCACTGATCTGCAAGTTTGAGCGGACTTCGTCACCAGACTACAAGGATGATTTTGTCACGATTTCCATCGCGTTCCAGCGTCCTCCACCTATGGTTAGCCTCTTTCGCAGCAACCCTGCAGTAGAGATGGTCACGCAGCTTGCCCGCGGTTTGCGCGACTTGCTGGAGGACCCACCCGAGCTCCAAGAGATATCTGTCGTAAAGACGTCCGCTTGGGTGAAAGACAAGTACGTTGCATCGCTGTTTTCTTGTTCGTCGGGACACCATTTTGATGCGTCTTGGCTAACTCAATGAGCATGTGTTGTTGACTTGCTTTGATACAGAGAGCGTCGCTTTTGCGTGCTTTGCAATCGGCGCTTTTCGCCTATATTCCGTCGACGTCATCACTGCCGTACTTGCGGTGAAGTGATATGCTGGTCATGCAGCAGCACTATACGCGTGCCCTCGATTAGTTTCACACACAATGAAACTGGCAAGCAGGTATTGTCTCGTCACCAGTCAAGCATTCGCGTGTGCAGTAAGTGTGTAGTGTCCCAACACCGGTCAAAGAGTGGAAGGGAGCTAAATAATCAAGAGGATTTTAAGGATTGGATTCAACGAAGCACCGAGCAGCAACAACATGCTACGGGAGACGAGGTAGGGAATTCTCAGCAACTTCGATTGCCTAGTCCTTCTCACTCGCAAGATTTGTCGGGAGAGGTGGAAAGAGCTACGCGTGCTGAACCGAAGCAAGCACTTGTTGCCAAGGAAGAGCGAATGCCGCGCAAGTATCGACGTGTCAGTTTGGATAATGAAGATGAAGAAAAGGAAGATGGAAACAGCCGCCCTCACCAGTATCGTGAACTTCCAGATGCCCTTGACAATCGAGAGCGACGAGATTCGAATTTGCGGACATCAAGAAAGGTTTCTGGCGGAAAGCAGCGACAGAGTAACATGCAGCTGCCTCAGCGTCATAGTTACGGCGAACAGGCGGCTCGATCTTCAAAGCATATGCGTCGAGTACGTCGGTCGCACTCCGAAGTGAGCATTGAGCGCATAACTGGCCAAGGTCGGGATAAGCAAGTAAATGCGACCAAGTCGACCAGCAACAAGAAAGCAACAAGTAGAGGGCGTCCGAGCAAAGCTGGCCGTCGTAATCCTTCACCCGACCCTGTGCGGCTACCGGTTTTACCAAGCCGAGGTAAACAAAAAGAAGTAAACGAGCGACCAAGCTCAATGGAAAAACTCCCGGTGCAAAACAGCAGCAGCTATGTTCATGCCGCTTCAGCGTGGGCTACGAACAAGACCGCAGTCCTCGCCATGACTGGGGCGTTCCAGGAATTGATGACGAAACTCGGAGGTGATGTCCATTTCGTGGTTGTTGGGTTCTCTACTGGATTCAGTGCCGAAGTGATTGTTAACTTGCTTCGGCAGTTAGCCCCTGGTGTACCTTACATTGGCGGTACGATTGCACGTGGCATATGTGATGAAAATGCTTGGGTGTCTGTCAACCGGCACAACGACGAAGGTCTTGTCACCTTATGGGGTGTGAATGACCCGCATGGCATTTACTCGATTGTTCATGCAGGCTATTCGCAGAGCGATGCACATGAGAAGACATATACTGCAGCTAGAACTGCTTTTGCCCGTGTGGCAGCTGATGTTGAAGCTGGTGAAAAGCCGGCGTTCATTGCAGCCTACGCGTGCCCACTCTTTGTGGAGCATGCGATTGACGGAATTCGTGAAGCTATCCACTGCCCGATCATTGGTGGCTGTTCGTCAGACGCCACTAGGCACGGGGAAGGTGAAGTATCGGTGTCGTGGATACAAATCAGCAGTAGCAGCAGCTCTGACTACACAAAGAGTGTTCATGATGGTCGAGGAGACTGGACGGAGATGGGAATCGCATTTGCGCTTTGTTTTCCTAGCGTGGAAACATACGTAAGCTGGTTCAGCGGATACAGCCCGGTTGGAGTGAATAGCGAGTACTGCATGGGCACTGTGACGAAGGCGTCGAACAAGACTATTTTCGAAATCGACTGCAAACCAGCCGCAGAGGTCTACCAAGAGGTATGTCATTTGTATTGCTCGCTGCTGAATTGATTAACGGATCTAACTCGTATTCACTGATGGTTCAGTGGCTCGATGTGGCGTCGGACAAGAGCCAGACTGAGCTTTCCTCGATTGGATTCCCTCGACTAGGCAGTTTGCACCCATTGGGCACCACGATCGACTTTGTGTCGAACCAGATGGAGATCGACCGCGGTATTGACGCCCACTCCTCCTCCTCCTTATGCTCAATGCAGTCAAGCGATTGGTCCAAACTTATCAACATGACAGCAGTGATCACCGGCATCAACGAGGACGGCTCACTGAGCGCCACCAGCTCCGTCGCGTGCGGCACTAACGTTGTCCTCATGGAAACGTCGGCTCAGTCGTTGAAGACCGCCATCAACAAGGTTTGTATCAAGCTCGATTCACTCCCAGATGCAGGGACAAACCTCATACGCGTTTTGTGGTTGTGTGTATTCCAGATGGGCGCGCAAGCCGTGGAAAGCAACAAGTTTCACATCCACGAGACGATCGGCTGTCTCATGTTCCTGTCAGCTGGAGTGCAGGCACTGTTGGGCCACAAGAGCATGGCGGAGATGGTACAGTGCCACGCAACTGACGATATGATGTGTCAACCCGTGTGCATTGTCTGACCGAGAGATCATCAATGTGCAATAGGTCGGTGCGTACAAGGACTGGTCCGGTGGAGCGTCGTTGATGGGCATGACAACGTTTGGTGAGATCGGCCACTTGCCGAACTCGAGCGACTTGCCCCACTACGACTCGCTCATGTTCGGCGCCATTATCTTTTCAAAGCGCAAACGAAAAGGCTATCTGCGCTATTGAAGGAAGACGCGAGGGAGAGACCGACGCGATCCGTCCACGTACATCTCGATATAAACCCCACCCACGAGCGCTTCTTCGATACTGTGTTACTGTCCACGTACTGCCCACGACTGTCTTGTCTTCCATCGCTCGTCTCGCTCGTCTACTACCGGTGACGTTGTGTTGAACCACTCGGCGCAATCTCACGTCCCCTTTTCGTCCAATCACAAGATCGGAACGGCCCCCGGCCCTCACTTTCCCTTTTCGGCCCAATGGCGCACGAAGCGCCGAGTGTCCATCGCCACCGGCGGCGACGCCACCGCAGCCGCAGCCACAGCCACAGCCACAGCGCCCGCGCGTCCTCCCACCGTCACGCACACCGCGAGCACTCTCGATCGCATCACGCGTCGTCACCGCACAGCTCGTCGAGCAGCGCGTCCCGCTCGAGATCGCGTTCCCGCGAACGCCGTCGCACGTCCAAATCCCGCGACAAGCGCCGCAAGAAACGGTCCAAAGCAGAGCGTCACCGCTCGCGCTCGTACTCGCGCTCTGCGTCGCGCAGTCGCTCTCCGGACCGGCCGAGCAGCAGTTCGAAGAAGAAAAAGAAGGAGAAACGGAAGGGCCACAAGAGTTCCAGGAAGAGCAGCAGAAGGAGCCGAAGTAGGAGCGAAGTGAGGGCACTGACAGTGGGGCGCAAACGGTCCAAGTCAACCGACGAAGAGGAGGAGCAGCAACAGCAGCAGTCGAATGGACAGACTCGTGTCGAGGACGTGGAGTCTACAAGTGAAGCCACTGCAGCTGCTGCTGTGGCAGCTCCCGTTGCACCTGTTGATAGCCAGACGGCTGTCGATGAAAAGACTGTTGGCTCGAACTCGGAAGAGAAGACGGATGGTGTAGTGTCTGTGACTGCTACACCGGTGATGAGTGGAGGTGTCTCATTGAAGAAGTTCAAGTTTGGCGGCATCTCGTTCAAGCCTGGCAATATAACAACGCAAAAGAGCCGAAGCACTGTGCAGAAACCCGCGAGCTTTTTTCGTGCGTTGGACGAAGGCAGCGATGAGGCCACAGGTGGAGACAATGGTATTGCAACCGAAGAGATAAGTGAAGCGCTGTGCGAGAAAGAGCGTAAGCAAAAGAAAGACGAGCAAGCAAAGTTCTTGGCGGAAGAAGATGCAGTGCCGAAGCAGCTGGCATTGTGGACGCCAGAAGACGAAGAGAAAGGTGAGACGCTGGAAGAGCGAAAAAGACGCAAAGAGGCGGAAGCGCAGCAGCGTGAACGCGTCCAACAGGTTGTAAAGGAGATTGACCCGTTGGATGCCTATATGGCTGGCCTCGTCGATGAGGCAGCTATAAACCAGTCTCGCGCGAATCCTGCTGCTAATGTGATTTCGCAGTCCGAGATCGAGGCGAAGGGAAAAATCAATATTTATGGCACATTTTTGCCCTTAGACGCACCCGAGAAGTCGAACGTAGCTGTGTCGTTGCCGTCGAAGGATTCTCAAGCAGACAGTAGCACAGTAATGGAAACGTCCGAAGAACGTGAAGCTCGAGAGGAGCGTGAACTGTCGGAGTTTATGCGAGCGATCAAAGAAAAACGTGAACACGAAGAAAAAAAGGCTGCTAAGTCAACAGCGAAGACGAGTGCACGGAACGGAGTGGGAGCAGAATCTGAAGAAGGTCCGATGCTGAAAAAAGATGATACGGGGCGGATTTATCAAGGCTTTGAAGAGGATGTGTTTGGTGAAGACTCGAAGCTGGTAGAACAAAAGTCTGCGCTGGAAATTTTGCAAGAACAGCAAAAAAAGAAAGAGATAAAGCCCGTGGATCACACGAAGATAACTTACCTTCCGCTGCAAAAGAAGTTATATGTCGTTCCCAAGGAAATCAAGGACTTGTCAGAGGAAGAGGTGGCGGTACAACGCAAGGAATCTGAGATAAAGATTCGCGGCAAGAATTGTCCACGTCCGTTGCAAAAGTGGATTCAATGTGGCTTTAGCGTCCGGATGCTTCAGCTTATCAAGAAGCATGGTTACGAAGATCCGTTTGCGATTCAGAAGCAGGCTCTGCCTGCCATCATGTCAGGGCGTGATGTGATCGGCATTGCCAAGACAGGTTCAGGAAAGACGTTGGCATTTCTCCTTCCCATGTTTCGCCATATTCTTGCTCAGCCTCCTTTGCAAGAAAGCGAAGGTCCGATAGGAATCGTCATGGCGCCCGCTCGAGAGCTTGCGCAGCAGATTTATGTTGAAGCTCGGAAATTCTCGAAGGGTCTCGGCTTGCGTGCTACTGCAGTGTACGGGGGATCCTCTGTTTCTGAGCAGATTGCTAACTTGAAGCGTGGGTCAGATATTGTGATCTGTACACCAGGACGCATGATCGACATTCTTTGCATGAGCGCTGGCAAGATGGTCTCGCTCCAACGTGTGACGTACGTGGTGCTGGACGAAGCTGACCGCATGTTTGATATGGGTTTCGAGCCGCAGATCACGAAAATCATGATGAACATCCGGCCAGACCGACAAACGTTGCTATTCTCAGCAACGTTTCCCCGCTCTGTGGAATCACTGGCGCGGAAAGTGTTGCGAAAGCCCGTGGAAATTACAGTCGGTACACGCAGCACGGCTTCCGGCGACATCACACAATACGTCGAGGTTCGCGAAGAAGATGACAAGTTTATGCGACTGCTGCAGCTTCTCGGTTTGTGGTACGAGAAGGGCAACATCCTTGTGTTTGTGAACAAGCAGCAGGCGTGCGACCAGATTTTCCAAGATCTGATGAAAGCGGGATACCCGGCACTCTCGTTGCATGGTGTGTCATATGATGTGTTACTGTGTTGGTCGAGTTGGTTGTTTGCTAATAACCTTGATGTTGTGCGGCGGATATTCTACGGTATAGGTGGAAAAGATCAAGTAGATCGGGACTACACTATCGATGATTTCAAACGAAAGGTGCGGACCGTGATGGTGGCGACATCTGTCGCTGGTAGAGGTCTTGACGTGAAAGATCTGGTTCTTGTCATCAATTACCACTGTCCCAATCACATGGAAGACTATGTTCATCGTGTGGGACGGACTGGGCGAGCGGGCCGCAAGGGCACAGCCTACACGTTTATTTCCCCGGACGTACGTTTGCTAGTAAGCGATTGTTGTCGGTAGTAAGTGCGCACTGATTGTTGACCTTTGTCGTACACTCACAGGAGGAAGAGTATTCAGTCGATCTTGTGAGAGCCTTGGAAAATGCCAAGCAGATCATTCCGCCGGAACTGTCAGCACTTGCAGAAGAATTCAAAGCAAAGGTATGTGTTTGCTAGCACATGCACCTTTTCCCCGTTGCTGGGGTATAACTCTTTGCTTGCAATGTGTATAGGTAGCACGTGGAGAAGCGAGATACCACGGCAGTGGCTTCAAAGGCAAAGGCTTCACGTTTGACGAAACTGAAAGAAACGAGACCCAGCGCACAGCGGACCTTCAGAGACGTCAGTATGAACTGGACCAGGGTATTCTGATTGAGGTACAGACTGCCGCTTTCGATTGGCCACACCTGAATTCTGTCGACAATGTGGTCTAACTTTTGTACTTTGTTTCCAGGAATCCGGTGCCGCTGACGATGACGATGCGGATGAGTCGAGCAAGGACCAAACTGGCATTGCGGCTGACAACAAGCAATCTGCTCATGCCGGTCTGAAGTCGATACCTGTCGATAGCAAAGCGATGTCAGCTTTCATCAAGGCGCAGAAGATCATCCAGAATCTGTATTTGCAGTACAAGGGAAATGGCGATGGCAGTGCTGGAGAGAACCACTTTGTCGAAGAGCTAGAGATTAACGACTACCCCCAGCAGGCACGCTGGAGAGTCACCCAGAAGGAGGCCAGTGACTCGGTTGCAGAGCTCACTGGAGCAGCTGTCATCACAAGGGGATCGTACATACCAGCTGGCCGCAAGCCCAACCCGTCCGAACGAAAATTATACTTGGTACGTAACACTGTGGATTGTCATCGCGTTTTCATTTCTGACAGCATTGCACACGTATTCGTAGGCGATTGAGGGATCCACACAATCTTCTGTGATTGAGGCGAGACGAGAACTGCAACGCATCTTGGATGAAACCACGATGCAAGTCGGTCTAAGCGGCGACAAATATGGAAAGTATAGTCTGTAATGTCGCTCAGCGGATCACCACCTCCCGGTTCGTTTATGTCGAGTTTTGAACTGTAGCACTCAGTAGCGATCGGTGGTGGTGGTGGTGGTGAAAGGGTTACATTCTTCAGTCCCCCACCGATAGGTAAGAAGCATCCATGGGATCCAGCAAAGTGTCCGTTGAGTCTCATTAGTGTGTCATTGGTACTTGCGTAGCCCCGTCAGTCATTCTCGGAGAGGGTCTATCGACGGCAATTCCTGTATTTTGATAAAGATTAGCGTTCTAAGCTGGAATATTCAAGCGCAAGCCATCGAGACACCATATCTCAGCAGGCTTTTCAGCAGGCAAATCTAGCTCCTGTAAGTTCAACCCGCTGATATCCGGTGCTGACATCTGGCCAAACACGTGGACATCCTGAGAATGCAGTGTCAATGTCGGATAAAGCTCACTTTTAGACGGAAATGGTAATGTGAACTCCATCACGCGATTATTGCTGTCACGAACGGCACTCCCATCGACAGTAAAGCGCACAAACGCTACACCTGCGGATGACCCGTCGTCGCCCGAGCTGGATGAAAACGAAGCGGACGTTTGCTGAGACAACGGAACTTCCACGGAATTCTCCTGATCTACTAGCTGAGCTAACAGCCCGACAGTGGACTGGAACCCGTACTTTCGGCCAACTCCAATCGAGCGCCGCCTGTCGGAGCCAAGGAGAACGTGTCCGGCCGAGTAGAATCCTATCTGCACGATACGAAATACATTAGTGCAAGTGTCGAGCATCGGACGTGCGAAATCACCTACCGAATGCTTCGACGCCCCGACGAGAGTGTTCAGTGGCATCAGCCGCGTCGACAACCCGATGCAAACGCTTGCGTCAATACCAGCTCGGTCGCTCGCGTTACAATTGCTGGTGCTAGCATCGCTTCCCAAGAAAGACGACGACCGACGTTCTGATTGCAGAGCACTAGGGGCGCTTTGGTTTGCGACACGCAGCGGGGTCCGTCCTTGCTGCAACACCATCTCGAAATACACCAACCGGTTTTTCGGTAGTGGCACCGATACGCGTACGCTACGGTACATGCCTGTACCAACCTTGGACGCACAGTGGCGACCACAGGATAAATAAATGTCTTCGTGACAATCGTGCGCGTTGAACCGCGGCACAGGTAGATCGTGCTCACCCGTTAGCGTCACCGCACGCTCCTGTCGTAGTCGATCGCGAGCTTGGTACAACACGTCGTCTGAGAAATTCGAAAAGGCGAGCTGCACGCGCTTGCGTGCTAAGGGTGACACTGGAATTGACCGCGGCGTCGCGGAACTCAGATGAGCATAGCTTGAAGTGGTCTCATCCTGGCCTCGATTTTGACAACCACCGCCAACGCTGCCACCACTGGTTGATCGGCTCCATGGAGACACGGCTGCTTGCGCGTTCTCAGGGGGTAATCGCACAGTCGCTTCAAACGGATGGAGCGGGATCTGAAAGTGCATCACCCGCCGTATCCTTCGATCAATACTCGACGGCACCATCCGTTCTTTCTCTTTGTACTCGAGCACCACGGCCGTCACTGTCGTAGGCAACATCACCACGCAACAATCCGCAATCAACAAACTCACCGGGATCCCATCCGCAAAAAAACAACGTACAGCTTGGGTCGGCCATGTAATGTCCAGCACTGCGACGGTGGCGGTGGTGGAAACTTCGACTGCGTCCGCTGGCGATCCCCGATCCGTCCGTCGACGCAGCTCCCATGAGCTCTTCACTCGACAGCCGCAGTGTGTCCTCTACTGCTTGCAGCAGTCCATAAAACAGCGACGAGGCCGTGGCCACTCCTGGTAAACTCATGACCACCACGTAGACGCTACGGCACACACCGAGAGACGCGCTGACCACGAGGCTCCGCAGCGATGCAGCAGCCGCCAGCACCCAGTGCACGACGCCCTTCACTTCCTCCGGCTCGGCAGAAGCCCACACACTACTGTCTGCCACAGCATCGCCCAGCTCTCGAGCACTGGGGCACTCGGTCTGGAGTCGTATGGACGACCGGCTCACCATTTTGGCCAAGCGGCGCTTGAGCTCCTTCACAATGGACGTGGGCAAGTGGAGACGCTCTTGCAGACGGTCCAGCGCCTCGAGTAGCCCAATGCAGACGAGAAGCAGCTGTCAAACACACGAAAATGAGCCAGAGAAGACGGCAGAAGTGAGCGACTGCAGTGGCAAAGCCGACCTCAAGTCCAGTAGACCGCCATCACATCCCCATACGTACTGTGTCTTTCGTGTCGGCCACAGACCGCATGGCCGACGAGCACACGCGGCTTCGTGTTCGCGTCTGCGACATGTTCAAGCGCTCGGAGCTGTTGCGCGGAGGTCCGACGGGCGCTGTGGGCGTTGCGACTGCAGGAGATAAGAGCGCACTTTTGCGTCCTGCGCTTGTCGCTGTTGCGCTCGATGGGCTCTATTTTCTGTGTTTAGGTCGGTCGGGTGTTCTTCCCTTGGGCCTGCAGGTGGCAGGACGGCGACACTAGCTGCAACGTAAGTGGACTAGAGCGCTCTTGAGTTGCTGTTCGGCAACAGTCGAAAGACGGCTCATCGAGTGACCTTCTTGTGGAATTTGTTCGCTCTGCTTCAGATTCGGTGAAGCGTCAGGTCACATTGCGCGAACTCGTCGCAGCCATAGCGTGTGGAGTCCTTTTTGCATCTTTTTTCTGCTCTGAGAATAGAGAATGCACTCGAATAGTCGTTGCGAGTGTAGAGCAGCAAACACATCGACAAGTGCAGTCGGCGACGTACGGTATCAATCTGGTTCTATCCTTCGAGCACTATCGGTAACGCGAACACCGACGTAAGCCCTTCGTTGCTGCAAGTATCAGCCAGTGATGCATTTAATGACGCCTGTGCGTCTATTAGTATCGATTCTTCACCGCTATGACTGCTTCAGCAACTTCAGCCACCGAGTGACAGCCTTTTACATGACCTGACACACCACAAGTGACCACAGAAGGCTTTGCTTGCACGTACGTGAAAGATGAGTGTACACTTTACACGATCACCGCTCGAGCATGCAAACAACAGGCCTGTGTCGAATGTCAGTATGTTAGAGACGACCAAGACGCGTATAACGGGCAGAACGATAGTGTCGTGTACGAGAAGAAGAAGAAGAAAAAAAGTATCCTCTGACGTACTGCACGTTACAGATGATTCCAATTCACACCTTGTAAATGGTCAGCTTGACCACCATCGGTAAGCGTCGTGGGATCCTGAACTTTCGTTGCTGATCCATCTCGAGCACTCGTGATGCTTTGGGACATTGTCTTTCCCGTATGCCACGTCTCACAGCCGTTGGTCGAGCTCAGATCTGTTGTCCTTTTCGCTGCGCTCGGCAAAGTGACCCATCGTTTGCTCTCTGTTGTTGGCCAGTTAAACAAGCCCCAGACAAGCTTTGCAATGTCCTCGGCCAGCTTCCCAAAGGCTTTTTCATCCTCGAGTTTGGATACCATCGACAGAGTCCGACGCTCGCAAGTGCCAAGCACCTGCAGTTGTGTGGTAGTCGAAAGGAGAGCGCAGTCAGGAGGTCGAAGTCGATGTCGTGGAGGTGCCTTCATCGAAAAGAGCAGTGGACATTAGCGTGCCCGGCGCGTGCATCTTCGTGGAGGTGGATGAAGTGGAAGCGATGTCGTCGATGCAACTTGTGGAACGAGCGCCATGTAGACGGACACCCCGGCACAAGCCCTTTAGACGCTGGTAGACGAAAGTATCTGATGCTGTTCATTAACTGTTGCTAAGGAAGAAGTACGACGCGTCATTTGAAACACCACGCTGTCTCAAGAGGTCTTGATGCTACGACACCACACGGCTCGATATAGGCAATACATAACCTCAATAGGACATTCTGGCGACAAAACAGTAGGACAGGAAGTGCTCTCGCGACAGAAGAGTAGACGGTTGTCACATGAAATTGAAGGCAACTCGGCGTTGCTTAGTGGTTGTCATCAAGCCCGCGAGAGAAATTGGCTTGCCATAGCATTGACATCACAAACACTAAGTCTGCCTTTTTGGAGCTTATTTATATGTTGGCCATAGCTCCAGCACTTATGATCCGCCATCCAGCGTTGTTCTGCAGATTCTAGCTGAGGAGTGAGCTACTGGTGACTGTGTCAATTGGCTCGTCTACGGTGCGGACGTCACACAAGTATCGGCACCGTTGCTAGGCCTTGTTCTGACTTTACTCTTGCTTGAATGCTACACTTGCCCAGCAAAGAACGACGCAGTGTGTACGTATGAGTCTGTGGATGCAATAACATTGTACTCATCGAGGATTCGGCCTTACGGCAATAAAATACCTGCTCAAGGCCGAACAAACTGCAGTCGAAATAAATTGATAGCGACTCAATCGATTCGGCGCTAAGGTGTCAAATTCGTGCGCTCACTTGTCGACATCTCCATCCTAGCAACTCTACCACTCACTGGGGCCGCTGGTCGTAGCAGTCACAAACTGGCGCCAAATCAACATTTTTGTCCTCTCCATTACAGAGCAGACGCGGCCATCTCCTGCACAGCGGTCTGGATCGACTTGCTGAACTGACATAGACGCAAAAACTCGTCCTGCCGCTGCATGTCCAATTTGCGAACCTCTTCCTCTCCTTGAGCAATGTCAGCCCCAAGACGAGTGACCTCTGCAAACGCGTCCTTCTTCATGTTGATCAATTCCTCCATGTCACGCTGGATCCTCCGGATGTTTTCCAAGTTTTGGCGGATGCTTGCCTCCAGTGTGGCGCATTTGCGGTGACACGCGGTTTGCGCATACGAGACTTCTGCTGTGCAGGTCGCCAAGAATTCTTTGAGGTCGTCTGGATCAGACTTTAAATAATAGACGACGTTGGCCACAACTCCATCTCGGGACTTCTCTGACTCGGCTTTTTCCTTGCGGAGTTTATTTGCCAAAACGCGAGCTTTCGTCACCTCTTGCATGTCAAACGGCTGAGTGCTCGACAGCTCTTTAATTTTCCTGCGAACAGCGTCAGCTTCCTGGTCAATGTCGAAGATCTTAGCGCTGAGCTGATTGTATTCGCTGATCATAGAGCGCAAGATCGGGTCTTCGTCCTCGCCCATTGTTTTTTCCATCAGCTCGTCTACGTTGAACGCCAGATTATTGTGAGCAGCGGCGGCTGAGTTCAACCACGCATCTTCAGCTTTAATCCGAATCTCCTCTTTAATCTGTAGCTCAGTTGGTTTCCAAGACGCGCCACCAGGACTAGCATCACCTTTGTCGTCAAGAGTCAGATCGACAATTGACGACGTAAATGCGCTGATCAAGCGGTTCGCTTTGCTCTTGCCTTGCTCAACCACAGGCTGTGGCGCGTCGTCCGGGACAGCAGATCCATCAATGACCAGGTTCTCCAGTGCCGCAGTCGTAGCACCCGTCGTCGAAGCTGCAACGGATTGCTCCATCTTAACTCGCGCTGCTTCCGAGCCACTGTGCTTCGCTCTTGTCGACTTCCTCACAGGTTGCTGAGTCGTGGGTACTGCCACCTCTCTGGTTGCAGCTCTGTCCTGCAAGGCGCCCTTGCTCATCTTGACCGTTTCCGCAAACATCAAGTTCCAGCTGGCAAACGGGAACATTCTCGGGGACGAACCTGCAGGTCATTTCGCATACGTTTCGCTCAGCACAACAACTGTGCACAACATGCTTCTGCTGTTGCATTAGATTTCGTACCTTCGACACAAAAGAAGAAATGCGGCCCCAGCTGCCGGTGCTTTGCCGCGCAGCAGTTCTCGCATTGGTACATGTTGCAATTGAGGCAAAAGAACTCCAGCGTGTTCTCGCCACACTCTTGACAAGCTAGTCATCCAGACAGCACCACCGTTGTCAGTAAGTGCCGCGCATTGCCCCAGACAAAAAGGTGTATCGTCCCTACCACTGATCCACTTGAGACATTCCTGATGTGGTCGTCCGTCGCTTTTGCTCTCTTCCCGCTTCAGCGCCAGATCTTCGAGTCGGTGGTGGATCTTCAGCTCGCACTGGCGGCAGAAGCGCTGGTCACAGCGCTCACACTCGTAGTCGGCAATGGCGACGAGGCATTGGTTGCAGTGCGGCCGCTGCAGCGCTACAAGAAGACAGAGAGAGAGAGAGAGAGGCGTACGCGACACAGACACACACACACACACACAAGAGACAGAAGACAGGGCATACGCGAAGTCAGCATTGTGCAGTTGTTGCAGCTGCAGCGATTGCCGGCCGAGACGTACGCGCGGGTTCCGCCACGGACGCGAAGGTCGGGTTCTCCTGCCCCTCCAATGGCTGCATCAGTGCGTGCGACGCTTTGGTTTTCGGCAAATCACGGACGACGACTGGCATAACGCGAACAACGTCGTGTGATTGGATGATATTCGCACCGCAAGGCACCGACCGACCGACCGACCGACCAACCGACGAGCTACAGTTGGGGTATTGGGCTGTGGCTACATATGTCCAACAACGACTTCAACCAGAAGACCCGACGGACGATGGAGCTGACGCTGGAGAAGGCCCACGTGCTGTGGCTGGCAAAGCATCCGAAAGCACATGAAGAGGCGTCCCCAGTGCCGGCGCACGTGCGGTTGACTGTCGTGTTGCCGCTGGCGCAAGATCGGGACAATGGGGTGTCGTTGCCATGCAGCATTTCGATTTCAGCCGACGAGTTGACGACGGAGAACAAGACGTCGCTGTTGGACCAGCACGTGACGTTCGCGCTACTGGACGGTAGCGATCGAGTGGCTACACACGTGATGAAGATGCGCGAGTGCATTCCCGTGCTGTCGGAGGGGTCTGTCCACTGGACACAGCCAGTTGTGCACCGAAACGTACGAGTCGTTCGAGCTGTTGGTGGCAGTGTGATCTGCTGGAAGGATACAGATGCATTAAGACGCACGGATACTGTCGATTGATCGTTTATTTCAGGTGCACTACGATGTAAAGATACGCATTCCAGTGAAGACGGACCGACGCCCCCGCGCGTTTGTCTCCCATGCGCTCGCAGTCAAGAACACAGCGAGCAGCGTCGCACACCAGGTCAGTGGCACGATGCGCAAGACTGGTTCTTCTAGCGCCACTGCTTTCATGACATTGCATGGTGCTTACATGTACTCTGACGGGTGTCTGAGAGTAGATGTTGCTGCACAGGAACAAAGCAGCGGTTGGGCTGCTGCCAGTAGTCGTCTCCTGTGTCGTTGGCATTGTCGGAACGTCTCCAGTATGGCTACCGCTAACGCTGCTAGTAGGCATGTTGGGCTTCCCCATTTGGATCGTCGTCGGTGTCGCAACGTCGCTGGCGACGCTCTTATCTGCCGTTTTGGCTGTTGTGACTCTCAAGTTGGTGCAGTTGGAGCGCATGAGAGGTGCGTTCCAGCACTTTTTGACCAGTCAACAGGGCCAGTTGCTGCTGTTCCAGGGTATGCCTGGAGAAGAGTCTCTATCGCCTGCAGCGCTGTCCGAACGCATGAAGGAGTTTGTGCTGGACAGTCCGTCCCGCAAACTAGTGGCAAGTTTGGCCATCGACTTCGTAGGAAACGCAACGTTTGTGGTCCCTGGCCTGGGTGAGCTAGCGGACTTGCTCTGGGCCCCCGTGTCGTCTAAAATGGTGGACGTGCTCTACAAAGAGTCGTCGCCGCGTGCCAGATACGTGGCCTTCTTGGAGGAAGTGCTGCCTTTCACGGACATCATCCCCACTGCTACGCTGGCCTGGTACGTACAACTGATTGCTGCGAGATTGCGCTATTATCAATGCTGCTACGTGCTGTATGTACTGGCAGGATGATGGAGAACCTGAGATCGTCCAAAGTGGATTAAGTGCTCGTTTGTATCGAGTTTGCAAGCACGGCCATGCACTGTCCGCGAGATTGTGTGTGAAGTGCTGCTTATGTTGCGCACAGTCGTGCGTCCATCGACCGGAATAATGACAACAAGCCTTGAGTTGCAGTCTGAAGCGATTGTTTGACTGATGGTATTGTTTACGTGGTGCTTCTTTCACAAATCGGAAGTCAAATTGCGCTCATGGTCACGGCTGGCGAGTCCATTGCTCGATGATCCAGAATCGTAAGTAGAGCCGGACGACCATAGCATGTGTTTTCATCGAATCCTTGCAAGCCATACAAATGTCTGCATGCATCCAGATGTTTGGTATAGAAAAAGAGATGTTGAAGAAGGGTTCAAAGCGTCGGAGGTCCTCACTGTCAAACACCTACTACCCCATAGGTCACCTAACCCAGCGACAACAGCTGTAGTACGAGCTGGGATGGCCAAGCAACCTGAGTGCAATGACCCCTACACTTGTCGATAGCTTCATGACTCGATCCAGAAAGATGCCGTAGTACCAGAAGCGTGTCTGCTTCACCCACCAGAGCCATAATCGACAGAACGCGATGTGTCATGTTCGATCTTAGCATTGGCGGCTGGCAGAAAGCGCCCCTGAAGATTGGACAGATCCACCCGATACGTGTGACTGCTGCTTACATTGTATACGCCCGAAGTGGCGAAGCGATCCATCACTTGCGAACTGGAAAGCTGAACTCTACGGAGCATATGGACCGCGAGTCGGACGTGTGAGGAGACAAGGAGCGATGTGCATGGCAGCAAGTGCGACTTCATCTGGGACGTGGCTGCCTAAATTCATTGCTGCTGCGTCTGTGCCCTGGATCAGCAATAGTTGTGACCGGCCTTCGCCCGAGACAATCACTCGTGCAAGCGGTCGAACTCTGCTGAGCGAATGAACATGTCGCCATGACGCAACGGGCAAAGGCGATCCACATACCGCGGGCGTGGACTTAGATGGGGCGGTGCACAGTGGACATGTGCCCTGTCCTAGGCCAGATCCTAGAGGGCCTTCTGCGTTTGCACGTGGTAGGAAGCCGAGGTCGCAACGTGTGTAAAAGCCGAAGCAAAAGGTGGACAGAGTCAGACCTGTCAAACGCATCGTGACGCTGGGCGGGTGACAATCGAGCCAGCCTCGGCGTTTCTCGTGTCATGGGGAAACCTGGATTTGCTCTGTGTAAGTATACTCGAAACTGTTTTGTTCTATCCGGCTCACGATTTGAAAGGACCGTCGATTACTGCCGTCTTTATATAAGCACGCCCGCATCATCGATTTGTTGAATGTTTTGTCATACAGGGAGGTAGGGCGAGCGACAGCCCATTCGTATCCTTTGCATGCCCCATGAACGGACTTCCGAATGACGTATGAATTCTTCTTTTTCATACGCGATACTGTGGACAGAATCGGGCGAGATACCCTGGACAGCATGCAGCATTATCAAATTGAACAGTTTGATCTTAATGACAAATAATGTGACCAGTTTCGCATTGCGCTCGACTGTGACCAGTTTCGCATTGCGCTCGACGTTGATGTGTCGGGCAGTACATAGCACAGCAACCAAAGATCTGATTCGGCGCAGAGTGGAGGAAATTGGGACTTGCGATCGATAAGCAATGACCGCAATCAATAACTGAAAGCAGGACAGGTTCTGCCACGTGTTACTCGAGACAGTGCGAAGGGATGCGATGTTCAATCAGTCGGCTCTTCCGTAACATTCGACGTCAGCTTCCAAGATCCTTGCCAAGTGGATGCTCTTCTTCTGCATATCATGCAAGTCACGCAGAGTACCACCAGAAACACAAATCGTCATCGCGTATGAACGAAGCGGTAATACAGCTTGCGTGAGATCGCACGATTCGTCTCCTTTGAATGGGATCGTCTGTCTCCTGTCTCGGTCCATTGTAATGTTTCATGATGTTGGTCATCTAGCCGCCGTGTACACGCTAAGAGCTGCCCGCTACGTAAAATCCACGTGTCTATGCAGTTGATGCAGTGCTACTCTTTTATTGGGATCACAAGTGACCAAGTGCACGACATGAAATATCACGACACAGCAAGACTTTCTCATAGCCGCATCGTCTTATGTCCGCACGATCGATAGATTCCAACACCACGTGACGTGAGCAAAGGCCGTTCGTGGATATGGTGTGCCGAATTAATACTTGCCGCCTTCATTCGTTTTTGGACGGCCAAGATCGAAAGCTGGTTGCAGAACGACTAACGTGACTACGGTACGCAATACACAAGCTATCAATCGGCAGCCGAAGCCATCGCGTCTCGTTCACGAGCGGTACAGGACAGGAGTGTGTGACACGGCTTCAAGTGGAGGTTTCCATGGCATCGGCGTTGCCCGTGTCGTGCGCAGAGATCGCAAGTCTTTCTCGCATCACGTATTGGTTGGGATGCATACAACCGGTGTAAAAAGACCTCTACTGCATCCGTGTTCTGCGCAGGTGTAGTCCTGACTTTATCCCATGCAAAAAAGCGACGCGCACCCGTAATCTTTGATTGCGTCAAGCCTTTCCACCGCATGTCTCTCGTCAACGAGTTGACGAATCCCCACCTGTACCTCTCGACGCGGCCATAACCCAATTTCCACACTCGCGACACAGTCGACGACCTGTGCCGAACAGGTACAACGGACCGCCAGTGGGAACTTCCTCCCACACTCTCGAACGGGACCACCCGACCACATGGCGACACCACTACCTACCGACGCGACTTATGTCGAAACAGACTTTCGTTCGCCCCGTCGGACAAAGCGCTGCCCGCCGTTCAGCGGCAAGTACCGCAAAGCTATCATCGGAGGGATCGCAGTAGTCGTAGTGGCTGCAGTGATTGTGCTCATTGTCGTGTTGGCGACGTCCGACGACGACGACAATGAGAGCGCAAATGTATCCGTAATAGTCGCAGACGAGCCGCTCGTGCTGCCCCACGTCGCTGTAGCCAACTTGACAATGGCGAGTGCAGCATCGACGGACGATACGTTGGACGCCTGTGTCCAGCGAGGGTGGATCCCCACAGGCGTTGACTGGGCAGCCGCTTCGGCGTCGGGCAGCGCCGTCTCGTACTTGTGCATGCAGCAGAGTACGCAGCGTGTGGACACTGATGGAGATGGAGGGGGTACAGTCAATTTGGACGACTTGGCGGTGGTGCGACGCATCGTTGTTGTCTCTGAGGCCGAAGAATGTCCGTCGACTATGCAGACAGTGTCGAACCCGAGCTCGGGCGTCTTTGTCTGTGCAGAGTACGTCGCGGCAAGCACAGCGTTCGAGACCCAGCAGTACGTGGTTGACCTCATGACAACGACCGAGGCCTTTTACAACCACGAGACTCCGGGATGGATCACCTGGCCCACTGACCTCAAGATCGACGCAGACGCCTCTGGGGTCTACCTCAGTGCACGTTACCCCGTGCGTCCTATCGTGGGGCTTGCAGTGCTGACCAACGCAACCGCTGGTACCATTTATTCCGCGTGCAACGAGCTACAGCCGCTGGGACAATGGGAGGCACCTGGATTCATGCTCAAGTCGTCTGCTATCAGTGACTCCAGTGATGTTCTTGTCTGTGTGCAGCGTCCGAATGGAAACGCGACGGGTGCGTCTTCCGTCTTGACCGTCCTCAATGTGGTGTTGCCAACCGAACCGTGTCCTGAATCTACTGCCAATGCCACGGAGGTCACCAGTGACCAGATCAAACTTTGCGCCGAATGGGGTCTCGTTGACTTCGATCCCACCAGCAACTTCGTGTCCAGCCAGGCAAACTCGTCGTTCGTTGCAGAGTTATCGCAGTACCAAACCACAGAAGATGGAGCCGCTAGTTTCACTACCTCGACGCTCCCTGGAGACTGGGACGTTATCGGCAATGGGTCGACGGGAGACGTGCGTACATTCTTTTTGACTCGACGGTCCAGGCCGTTTGCCTCGCTTACTAATTCCACCGGAACGGGTAGCACTGTGAGCATGGACAACGAGGTGTCGTCGTCCGTTGAAGCAGTGGCGTCTAGCTCGACCGACGAGCTGTCTTTCCGAGTGCTCCAAATTGCTGATCTGCATATCTCCGGTGACCCGGATCACCCGTGTGCAGACAGTCCCGACACGATTCGGGATAGTATCTTGGCGGCCGCGTCAGAAATTGCTCAGCAGATGAGAGAAGACGGCAATTCCACGAGCTCAACAGTTGCTGGTGAAGAGAATGATCCGATGTACCGCGAGTGTCGCGAAGCAGTGACAATCGCGTTCCTCGACGAGTTACTTGATATCGAGCAGCCTGATTTTGTCGTCTTCACGGGCGACAACGTCCAACAACACCAGGATCCGGGAATGCATAAACTGTCGATGAACACGTTCATAGCTCGCGTTGAGAGTCGACGAATTCCGTGGTGTGCTGTGTATGGCAACCACGATGCGGAAGGCGGCTTATCACGAGAAGACATGCTGGAGCTGATGATACAAGGGAAGCAATACTCACACGTGAAGTACGGGCCTCGTGACATTGACGGCGTGGGGAACTACGAGGTCAATGTTGTGGCGCCAGCGAATGGCCCATGGGGCGAGAGAGGGTCCACAGTCTTTCGCATGTATTTCTTGGACTCACATGCCCTCATCGACACGGCAGTGTATCCATCGATCAACGACGCTGGCGACTATGACTGGATCAAAGAGTCTCAGATTGAGTTCTACCGGGAGCTCGCGCTGTCCCACATCGCGGAAGAAGCTGCGAACAACAACAGTGTCTTGCCGAACGGGAGTATACCGGCAGTGATGTACTACCACATCCCTGTGCCAGAGTACGGGCTGGCCTCCCCGTTGACCCGGGTCGGCACTAGCCACGAATCGGTCTTCAGCGCTGCGGTGAACAGCGGCTTGTTCTCTGCTTTAGTTGAAGTGGGCGACGTGAAAGCCACTTTCGTGGGACACGACCACATTAACGATTACTGCTACTTGCGGCAAGGCGTCCAACTGTGCTACGGTGGTGGCATTGGACTTGGTAAGGCTTACGGGCAGACCGATGTTGAGCGCCGAGCCCGAGTGCTCGAATGGAAATTTTACGCGAACGAGACACGCACCATGCGAAGCTGGCAACGACATTTTTCGGATCCTACACAGATCCAGTCGCTCGAAGTTCTCTACTCGGAATAGAAAAGCGACGTCAGCGTAGTCTTCGCACAGCATCATAGACCTGCCATGTCCTGTATTTTACCACATACCTTTGCTGACTGTCGTTTCTTCTTCTTTTGTCCCTGAGTGTTTGCTCACCCTTTGTCGATTGGTATCACCACGTCATACCTGCTGACTATTATCGACACTCCTCCGCTCGATCTCCTCGGGTCGTAACGAAACGAGTCCGGCACGTTGCGAGGCATGATACCTTTACAGGATGAGGCCGAAGAGTCGATTGTCCACAACGACTTCTTCTTCGTTGTCTACCTCCAATTGTCGACACCTGACCGGATATAGTCGATCTTTCAGTGGTTGTCGACCCTCTCGACTAGCTTCACAACAATGACGTATCCATGCGACGTTGGACGGACCTTTATCACAGCTAAAGCTATAGCAATCGACAATGCATTACCAAGCCGTTGCAAGCCGTTCCTGAATATCGGACTCCGACATTTATTTCCACGTGGGCGCATGACGATCCAAGACAAGCTGACCAACGGGAACTACGAACAGAGGCAAAGGTGAAGGACTCAACGGGAGTCAGAGACAAGAGATGAAAAGGTCGACAGCCTTTTTCGCTAGTGCATGTAGGAGCGAATCGTTCCGCTTGGAAATTAATGAGTGCGCACCAATTGACTGCAGAAGAGAGAAAGTCGAGATAAGGTAATCCATAGTGCGTGTCGGAAGCAACACATATTGTGGTGTCGGATGAAGGTCAATCGACGCTCTGTGCACAATGATGCAACACCTGCACAATATGTGGTTGATGTGTTGTCTACACTACGACGTGATCGTGCTGGGTATGGTTTCGGCACTTGTGTGTCGTACCCACGCGCACAGGAACGGTGCACGTTGTCGTTGGATGCACTCACACACAAAGTTGAGGAAGGAGCGAATCTCCAAGAGATCAGAAACATGACTTTTAGCAGAAATCCACTGCGTAGGAACCTCTCTGCTGGAAGGAGACCCACAGTGTAAACGGTGTGTCTCACGCTTGAACTGATGACAGAACGAGCGAAACTGCACAAATAAAGTGTTGACCTGGTGTCTCGAAACCTCACGTACACGGTAACACGTACTTGGGAACCAAAAAACAAGAAGAAGTGCAGCCAAGTGTAGGCAAGCTCATTCGGGTACGAATATGAGCATTCGTTCTTAGTGGGCCAAGTCTTCGTATCTGTTTTCCTAAATCTTTACTCAAGTACTTTGAGCTCGTAAGGTATACGTATACTTCTATAACACCACTCATGGCGCGCCTAGCCATTAGCCTAGGGCTAAGTGCTGGTTTTTGTAGGCTAGCAGCATGGTCAATATCGGCCAATGAGCAACGTGCTGCCTACCCTTTTCGATCATGCGAACATAACGGTCATACAAACATCGCTCCGACTCAGTCGAATAATCATGAGTGTAGATTCAAAAAGCAATTAGAAACGCGTTGGTGAGCATTGGAACGAGGCAGCATGCAACAGTGAATAGAAATCGTACATGCCGGATACTTGCACTGAACTTGTTCCGATATCGAGAGTGTTTATATCGACTCAGTCTACGACGTTTCGTAGTCCAACAAGCAATTACTAGCCATGCTTGGCAAAGCTCTCGCAACATGTTGAGTGTGCACCCACCGCAAAGTTTCAGCTGCGGAAGAATGCTTCTTTCTGACTGCTAAAGCGCAGCCATTTGTTAGCTCTTGCGACATGTCAAGTGTCACCAACCTGACTGATCCCCGCGAGCTGTTTTCGAACCATGTGACTAGTGGGTGGAAGTTGAGGGAGGCTTTCTGGTGCACGTCTTTGATCGCCAGCCCAATGCCAACATCTGACTCATTCAGCGACTTTGTGTCTGTTTCAATGTGCTGCAAAGGCGTCCAAAGTAGTTGTCAGCGCCATCCAGCTGAGTGTCCCAAGTAGACCACATTTTGCTTGGCAAGACAGCTAGACCAAAGAAGACTCGCAAGTCGATCGATCTTGGTTCCTTCTGACTTGTCTACGCAGATAGCTGGTGCTTCTGCACTGTCTTGACGACCAGAGACCCTGTATAAGCAGCCGATACTCAATCGCCACGAGTTAACTGACCTCCATCATCATCATCATCATCACACATTCCCAGATTTCTCGAGATGTTTCCAACACAAAACATCCATTTTTACACAGGCGACGCTTGTCTTCTAAATGCACATGTCGAGCATGCTCGATGCCTGGTCTGACCGAATGTACGGCAAGAGGCTCTCGCCAAATGCGTCGTATAGAAGGGTCACGATACCACCTAGAGTAGACGACGACAAAGATGGCGACACGCCGCGATCCATAGCCTTCGACATCGAAAAGTAAGCTCCAGAAGCGTGCTGTGCATTGCATGATGTCAAATAGCACGCATTAGTTTGATCATGCGACGAGCACCGCTACAACGAAAAGTTGCTTACCACAAGGATGCCGAGACAATTCTGTGCCTCAAGTCTTTCAACAAGGTCAGGATTGGACGACGATACTGCTGGCTCCAATCTTCGATAGTACCCTTCTAGATTAGGAAAAAGCAAATTCTCCATCACCAGAGGGCCCAAAAACAGCATACCTAGCGAGAACAAACGTCCAAATCGTCAGTCATACTCGCATATCGACGCAGAAAAAGCATGGACAGAGACCATGAAGGGCACCGTATTGTGTCGAGAACGGACACACTGGATCTGTGATTGCCTTGTGGTATGTCTTGGATACGCGGGCCTGGATATTGGCGTACTTCTCACCGTAGCGCTCGCAAATTTGAGCCACCAGTTTGGCCGCGTACTTGCGCAAAGCCCAGTGATCGTCCACTGGGTTCTCGCAGAGCTGTGTGCCCAGCACGCAGGTCAGAATAGCAGGAATCAGTTGATGTAGCTACGTTTACGCATCGCCATACATGACGAAGATAACAGGGTTAGATTCATCCAGAACGCATGTCCAAGCACGACCACGTACATAGAGTTCGACATGCAGGTTCTGGTTCGTCAGCAAACAGCGGCAAGCCCGCATAAGCGAGGACAGCAGTGATAGGTCGTGATTGCTGTGCTTCACTTCCTCGTAAATGAAGCGTGAAAAGTAAGGCAACAGCTGGTGGATGCCCGGGTCTTGGGCGAGGCTGGAGAAGGCTGCACGTTGCAGCTCAAAGTCGTCACCCTTGATGGCCTCTGTCACCTTAGTGTAGTACAACTGCATTTCCTCGGTTAGCACGTGCTTCACTCGAGGCTTTCTGTCAACATTGTTGACAAAAGCTTCGTCCTTGATGGACGTGTGGCACGTCGAGTCGTCCTCCACGGACTCGTTCTCAGGTATAAGGGGCTGCACGCCATTGACGGCCAGCCAGTGCACATTCAGCACCGGTTGCAATGGGATCTGACCCAGCGGAGCATTCAGCAATTCCGACAGCTCCAGCTCTTCCTCCACTGCGAAAAAGAGCGACTCGTGGTCTTCGCACGGCTTGTACTTGACGGTACCAGGGGCTGCAAAGCCATACAAACTCTAGTATGTTTACAAAACGAACGACTCGTGTAAGTCAATAGCGTGCCTTATTATAACCGCCCGCTTTTGATCTATTCGAGCAATAGGGTACCTCTAAATTCCGCACTTGGAGCGCCTGATTGATGTGCGTGGGGTCCAGTTGCGGCCGTCGCGAGTGCCGCTGGAACTTGAGCGCGTCCTGCACGACCTCCCGCAATCGCAGCTCTACCTCCGGCATCAGCTCAGCAATGCAGTCTTTGCTCACGTCGTCCAGCCCGAGGCTCTGGGCGACCACCTGCAGCATCTCGGGGCGCAACAGGCTCATGCTGCCTGGCAGTGCAAACGAAAGAGTGACCGAAAATATAGCCGTTTTTTGGCGTGGTGGACCGGGCGTTAGAATATGTCGTCACAACCTTATCCATCGACTTGCTCGGCGAGTGACGAGACGTTTTTTGCTGTCAGTGAAAAACGACGGGGTACTGTTCATTGGCTGGAGTCATCGATAAACGGGTCCTTTCTGAACTACAGTGCTGCTGGCGGGTACAGTCATCATGACCCTATCTGAAGATGCTGTATCGGTAATGCGGTCGGATTCATACTGTAGTTTACAATGTATCTATACTTCATACCGTCCTCGACGCTTCACATGACTGGGCTTTGCGGCCCAGGAACGCTAATATCGCTTATGGCGGCAGCTATCTACGAAGTATTGCTTCGTAGTGGCGAGTGAGTAGCTATGTATTTGTTGCTGCGGCTGACACTAATGCTTCGTCATGCCCCAAACTCACCTTCAATAAAGATCCGACGTAGCACAGCATGCCGCTGTTGCACCCGTCAAAACCTCGAGCGCTTTGTTGGCTCGAGCCCAGCTACGGTCGGTGACAAACGGCCATTGTCAACCATCTTGTGGAAAGATAGTCTTGACGTTAAAATTCGACTGGAACGTGTCTTCAGCAACATCTGAGCAAGCTGAGAGTTTGCCACTCTACTGCAAATGAAGATATCGCGCTGACAAGCTCTTTTGCTGCGCTGTGACAGCACGACATCATCACGACGCTAAACGTACAGGCTGACGTGGGCCCGGCTTTCATGACTGTCGAGTGACAAAAGCTTGAGGAGCAGAACTCGACCTTCGTTTGTGCATGCATATGTGCAACTTCAGCCCAACCAGCAGATTCTCGCATTCAACTATCTGGTACGACTACTCGTAGCAGAATCAATCTCGTCCGGTATTCACAATTATTCTGTACAAAGTGCCCAGCAGAAGAAATGATAGCAAACCACGTGGAGCAAGCATTGGACGATCCATGCTCTTCAACCACCGCGCCTGCAACCATATCGTTGACTCCAGAAACGAAAATCTGCGCAAGCACGTCAGCCAGTAAGTGCGCGCACAGCCATCAGCACGAAGGCAGTATTGACTTGAAAGTCTGCCACAAGATCTGGATGCTGCGCCGTCGAATGCAGCAACCGTGCTTCGGATATCGCCTTTGCTGCGACGGTTGCCAATAAGTCGGAATCGACACCCATGTGTGCTTAACTTGAGACGTCCTTACCAGAACTGTCGAGTCCTCGAAGATGTCGGAGTAGCATGGCTTTCAACAAGTAGACTGAACGGCTCAGTCTTGGTCCTCACACTAACAACCGCAAAGTCTGACAAGGAGCAACTTGCAACACAGACGAAGTCTTGCCAGAACAGCGGACAGCCAGACTTTCCATCCGATGTGTCCTTACAACATTGTCACGAACGTAGTTATTCGTAAGAGAATCCCACGCGACCAGGAGACTGCATCACTACCGAGAAACAGCTCAAACTCCCTCTCAGCAAATTTGCTTTCTCCACTGCCTGTGTCTCGAACTCGCGATGTAGTGCTGAATTCGAGGCGTCAGGTACTTGGGTAGCTTCACCTCCGCAAAAGCCTTGTTCTACAAGCTACTACAATTGCCACGTTGTGTTCACGAGGCGACCCAGCTTGACCTTAACAATCACTTGCAACCGACACACATGTTTTGCCACGAATAGCTCTTTTCTCGCGTCCATCGCTACGTCGTCTCAACTCGCATTGAATGGCACCACCACGTTTCAAAGCTGTCGTCTGTATCAAAGCTCTGCGTCAACCAGTTCTCAACCACAACATCGTGCATGGTCTCACCCGAACATCACGGGCTGGAAGATTCAAATACGTCTCTCTATTCTCCATTTTAGTGGCCACATTACACCTCACGTACTTCGATCCAAAACTTGCCTTCCAGTAAATAAACTGCTCGGCTCAGCGATCTGAGGTCATCACTAAATACCGGAGCGTACCGGCGGAGATCGTATTGTGCCGCCCTGCGTGATGTGCAATGCAGCGCTCTCTTTCGTGTACTGGTAGACGTTCTCGGCAGCATCCCGCAGCTCGGCAATCTGCTGCCACAACTTATTATTGACCTGAGACGATCGCTTTACGGCCTCCATGTCCTTCGTGTCCAGAGTCTCGTAGACGTCGTCCAAATCATCCCTGATATTGATGAGGTCAGCAAAGCTGTCGAACGTGCCCTGAGATGCAGTGTCGTCTTCCTCTGCTTCGAAATCCTCCACGGCCATACCTGCACCACGAACGTTTTCCAGACAGCCTTCGCTTGAGCTCGTAGTCTCCCTAATGCTGTCTTTGCTCAGTCGGGACGGCAAGACATCAACCAAGTCACTCAGATACACTGGCAAGCCACGGCTGTGTGTATCGGCAGTATCGAGCTCCACTGGAGTGTATTCATCATACACAGGCTGGTGGTGGCTCTGCACAATGCTTTCTGGTGGCGTAAGCCGGTCGCTGGAGCGTTCTGACTTACCACCATCCTCAGCTCGTAACATATAGTGCCTGACCTCATTAGACTGTCCCCGTCTGAAAGTCGGTTGATGCGCATATGCATTCGGATTGACAGGCTCGTGACTTCCAGCTCGGGCTCTCGTCTTGCGTTGCTCGCGGTTCTTACTCCGATGTGACGTTGGAGAGTCGTCACACGCGTGGCCTCTTCTTAGCAATATCTCGGAAGCATCAGGGTGTCCAGTCTGAGGTTGTTGCATCTTGTCGTCGTCACACAGCTCTGACGTGCCGCGACCGGCTTCATGTTCACGCTTGCTTCTTCTACTCTCCTTCGATCGGATATAGTAGGCATTTTGGGCACTTCCTTCCATTTGACGCGGGGGCCGCGTCTGGTGCTCGGTATGGCCAGCAATGTCTTCATTGACGATGGTAGCAAGTAAAGAAGGGTGGTCACCTGATGGTGGATCGCTTCCACGGCGATGATCTGGCACATGCAACGAACTGTCCGACATACGTCCGAATCGCCCAGACGCCACTTCTTCTTGCGCTAGACTCAGCGCACTTGTTTGCAAAGTCGTGGCGACGCAGCTCGTGCAGAGGTTCACGGCGATCGTCGAGACGTGTTTGTTCGCAAGTCGGTTGTTGCCTACCGCATGCACGCAATTCAACGTGCGCTCAACACAGCACTTGGAGCACATAGCAGACGAGCACAGTTTGCACTCAAAGCTGTGCCGATACAATCGACTGAACGACTTTTCGCACACACTGCATTGCGTCGCTTTGGTCGTTTTCTCCTCTTCTCCCGCACGTGACGAGTTTCCCGAGCATTCCAGCCGCCACATGAGCTTCTTGTCGTGTGAGCACTGGACACTTTTCTCACAATTCAGCAGCACGTTCGTCCAGCTCTGGAGCGCTGCTGACTCGGACAACTTGCCCTTCGGCATCACGTTTGACTTGAGAAACACATCAACCACGCGGTTGTTCAGCTCAACAAAGAGGTACACACTTTCACAGTGCGCTCGTCTCATTCCATGTGACTCCACCAACTCGGGACAGCCAGGGACGTTCACCGACTGCATGATTTGGTATCCAATGCGAATGCCGTCTCCACCGGTAATCACGCCTGTAGCTTCCAGATACACCAAATCTCGAGGCGCCCCGACCTTATGGTGCTTGCTCGAGCTGCTGCTACTCCCACCGCCTGCTGACTGCACGAGCCACTTGATGCCTAGAAAGCGAAACGGACTGCGCGTCGACGGTCCTTCAATCGCTGCCAGCACGTCTTCGTCCAGCACATCGTCGTACAAATACGAGTTCTTGAGCGCCATGGTCACGCTATCCGGAGCTGCAATACCGTACATGACGTCGTCCAGCGAGCCACAGATACTGCCAAGACCGAGCAATACCGGCAGGTGGTCGCCACCACTGCCAACTCCACTGGTCTTCGTGCCACTACTGAGCGTCGACATGGACGGCGTCGTGAGGCTCTTGTGCCGGAGGCGTTTCTTCTGCTCGCGGGCGGCCGTTGCAGTGGGCCCCCACCCCGTCAAGAGCTCGAGCTCCGTGACCTGATGGGCCGGGAGCGAGACCGAGCCAGAGCCCGAGGCGCCCGAGCTCGAGCTCGAGCCCGACGTGCGGTGCCGCGCCGAGCTCCCGGCCTCGTCTTCGGCGCTCAGCGAGCGGCTGACGGCGTAGGACCGCGACTCGCGGTAGACAGTGAGTTTGCCGTGGCTCTTGACGGGTTTCCAGCGCCGGCGGTCGACCTGGCGGTGCCGGTACAGCGTATACTCTTCGTACTCCTTCAAGGCGCGGCCCAAGAGGTCTGTCGCTTGCGTGTGGAACCGGCGGCGGGCGCGGGGGCTGAGGTCCAAGCGCTCGAACGGGCGCTGCGCCAGTGGAAACGACGCGAGGAGGAGCTGCTGCTGCTCGGGGGCCTTCATGTGCGCGGCCGCGACCGCCTCGCAGGATTGAAAAGTACTGTCAAGATGTGCCATCAAGCGCAGAGGAGCGAGAGTGGCGAGCGCACTGCATGTCTCGCGCGGGTGCACACGTGACGATGATGGGGACGCGCGCGGCACCGGCTGGGGCGATTGTGATTGGTGGACACGCGGCAGACGGTTGAAGAGCATGAGATGGGACGCCGGCGTTTCTAACCGGGCGACAGAGGCCACGAAAGGACAAACAAATACAAACAACCACAACCACACACACACATACACACATAGACGCGATGCGCTTTCCCGACAGTAGGGAGAGAATCCATGCTCGGATTTCTAAGACGACCAGTGTCAGGTAGGTAGGTGCTCGGCCCATACAGACCCATTGCATCGTGTGGCCACAGCATGTATAGCATTTGCGAATGCTTTGTTTCGGTGTTGTTGTTGTTGGTGGTGTTGTTGTTGTAGTCACAGATGGCTCTTGCAGTCAATCGACTGAGGCCATGCGTCGAGTGTTTGTCGTCGTTCTTCTGTGCTAGTGTGTGTGCGCCGCGTCTTCATTTGTTGCTGTTTACGGCCTTTTTGCTGCTGTTGTCAGTTGTAGCGCACGTCTGCATATCAGCCACACGAGGGTCACTGCGATACGGGTGGCACGTGTTTCGATGAGCAGGTAGACTCACTGCGGTAGTACGTGTGTTTCCACGAACGTGCACGTTAGCATTATGAGAGTCACTGCGACACGTGTCACGTGTATCGAAAGACATGCGTGCGCGTGGCCATATGTGTCCATTCGAGCGCCGTCTTATGGCTGCAGCGAAGAGACAGACATACCATTCGTCAACGACCTCATGGATCGGGTTGGCCACGCGAGCGAGTGTGCGACCTCAAATGTGTTCGAGCGGGTTGCCAGCTACTTGGCAACATCCGCGTGCGTCTGCAGTTGTATGTATTACTACGACGACGGAGTCTCTGCCTCAAAGACGAGTGGGTGAATTTTTCCAGCAAATCGGATGGGCTGAAGAACTTGACGACTTCTGGCAGAGTCGAAAGCGAGTAAGGGCGTCGAAGCACCCACTGCCTTCGTGTCGAAAGGGGGCGCGGGGGGAGCTGGTCGCGCAGACCAGGCCAGGCGCTCTCCAACTGTGCGCTTCCTCGACCTGCTGGCCCAAACAACGTGGTGAAACCCACCAAGTGCAAGTGCCCAGAGCCAGGCGGGCGTGTTCTCTCGCCACGGCCTCGCGAGCTTCTCGGTCGCGCGCGCGGTTCTGTCCGCTCGCTCTCGTTGGTAGTCGCTCTTGGGGCGCGTGGCAAAGCGGCGCCCAGAAGGCAGAAGAAACCAAAGGCCCGTTGACGTCGCTGTCGTCGTCGTCTGCTCGTTGACCGTGCAGAAAAAGCGGAGGCTCCAAGTGCATGTTAGACAGCGAGAAATCAGATGGTCTTTTCGGGAACGATTGTAAGTCGTCTCGAAGCAGCGGGCGACTCCCTCTCGCGTCCTACGGTACGTGAGGCCCCCACGCCGTCTTTCTCCACACGCGCGCGCGCGCGCGAGAGAGAGAGAGAGAGAGAGAGAGAGAAAGAGGAGAAACTCAAGCAGGTGCGCTACTCTTCCATGGTCCAATATGGCGAAACGCCACGCACGGATGTGTCATGAGTCGTGGGCATTGCAACAGTCTGTTCGAAATCTTTTGTGATCACCCGCGTCGGTAATATTAGTGACTGCTGGCGCACCTGCCCCAAACGTGGCGTCGTCGAAAAGTCTCAGGACAGCACGTCCAGGTGCGCTGTGAACAGACTCTCGACGCTGTCACGGATTGTGGGCAGTGGGTGAGCTACCCCACGACAGGTTCCACTTGTTGACAACGTCCTAAACGTGCGCGTTCATTCGCCATCAACAACGGACCGCAAACGCGACGGCAGCAGCTCCAGGTTGCGGTCGATCGACCGCAGGCACTCAGAAAGGCGGTTCCACAACCGTCACGAGCTTCCGCCAACGACGAAAAAGGCGAAGACGGTCGAAGCAAATCGCGCATAGTGTGCGTACGCTTTCACGTAAACATGATGACGTCCCATGGACAGCCAGCATCCGGTCGAGCTCGATCGCAGACCCATGAGGAATCGCCGCGAAAAGATCAGAGTCGGCTGTTTCCTCTCGGTGGACTAACGTGCCAACCTGCGGCTTCGAAGTGACCACGGCAGACATCGTTTTCCCACGTCGGACCAAGTCTGGACATGCGCTAGCGTCCCCTGTCGCAAGCGGCTACTCATGTGTGAGGTGATGTACGGTTCACGTGGACACGCTTCGATGCGAGCAGCTGAGTCTGCGGGCACATCCCTAAATCATCCGTTTCACGATGCAGCTACATGACAGTCTACGAATGAACCCAAGCTGTTGGCCGCACGTGGTTCTATCAACGTGTCACAACGAAAACGAGCGTCGTGGATTCGGCATGAACGCTGTGATCGTCAGTTTGATCGTTCACAGAGCCTCTTCGCCACATGCGTCTGGTCTGGAGATTCTTCTGGTCCTGGCACCAAACCATGAGAATCGCTGGTCCCCAGGACCAGAAGAAGTGATAGACAAACAGTATTTCTGGTCAGAGTTATCACACACTCTGCGTTAACGACAGAGCTCGTTGTTGGTCGAGACCCAATTGCGTCATGATGTCACTAGTGATGCCCTGATGAGAGATCATAGGAGTTGATGTGGCCAAACGCGATCAGCCGATGGGTCGGAGCGAGGCTCTAGCAGCTCGGCAGCACAGCAGTGATCGTACAGATGACGTCGGGTTGGGAGATTGGTTGCTGTAGAGCACCTTTGCTGAGTAAAGCCAAGCATGCGATCAAGCACGATGGCGTAGAATGCTCGAGTGTATCGTGGTAAGCCATGGCGTAGCGTTGACGGCGGCAAGGAGAGAACATCTTTCGTCGACGACACTGATGGTTGGGTAGATCCTTTTGGGCAGCTATAGAGAAACAACGTACTATAGCGGATGCCCTATGGTTCTTCTTCTAGCCATGTCGACACGCTTGGCACCTATGCGGATCGACAGGTAGACAGACATTCAACGTATCGCTCTTCCTACATCAAGGCATACAGAAGGGCACTGTTTGTTGCCCCGCAGCGCTTTTCTCCGTGTTCATTCAAACACTTGTCGTTGGCCGCTTTCGTAATGATAAACTCACACCCCACACATTCTAGTGTATTCCCAAAGACCTTAGTCAGTCTATCGAATGCAGCACCACTGGATGCAAATACGCCAATGGTGAAGCCGAGCAACCCTTGCACTAGTTGCAAACGTCCTTGCATCGAAGCACAAGTGTGTGATTCTTGTGAACAAGAGAACGTGCCATCGTCTATCCAGCTTCTTCTTCGTGAAGGGTGGCCGAATAGCTGAGACGATTTCTGAGCGCCAGTCTTTTCGAGCATGCAAAATAGTCCCGTTCGCGTGACAGCTGTCGATCTGCAGTCAATAGCAGGACCAATCCATGCCGACTGGAATTGCTGCATTTGGACCAGATACTCGCCTGAGCCAGCCATCATCAAGTCGGGAGAATGACTCTGCTCGTGACTTGCGTGACTACCCCTGACGAAATGCAGCAAGCAATGGCTCTGCGCCGCAAAGTGTTTATCGATGAGCAGGGAATACGTGAAGCTGTCGAGACGGAGGATCCTCACGACAACGAGGCGAGCACGATCCATTTCGTGGGTAAAGACTCGGACACAGGCGAGTACGTGGCCGTAGCTCGCTGTTTGCTGGACGATCAGAATCGCAAGGCGAAGTTCGGTCGCGTGGCAGTGCTGGTAGAAAGTCGTGGCAGGACTTTTGGGACACAGCTCATGAATGCCATCGAGCAGCACGTGCGCGACCGCGTCGACCAGTTTGTTCTGTCTTCGCAGTATGGACGGAAAGCGTTCTACGAAAAGTGCGGCTACAGCTGCACGAGCGACGAGGTGTACTTGGAAGAGGGCATTAAGCACTGCTCCATGGTCAAGTCAGCTGTGAAGTCGGACTAGAATGAGACGAAGATTCTGAGATGCATGTCGTAGTCCTGTTTGTCTCCCCGAGTTAAGTGCAAGTGTATTCTTGGTCTAAGGCCCGACTTCGCCGCTTCCATGGCCTCTTCACGATAGGATCAATTGGTGTGCAAGCAGAGCGTTCACTAACAGTCTAGACTGGTCCAACATCGACGCTAAGACCTACTATGTAATACACGAGTCGTCCACCGCGCTGACCACGCACGCGGCGTCACTTGCTGCACCTCGTCAGTTGAATGTTGAAGGCCCTCAGGTTAGCTATGAAGAGCGCTGATGATACACTCACCGATACACGAACGCCTACCTCAATCGACGTTGTAGCCTTTACGATCGTGATGGCCACTTTGTCAGGCATGTACCAGACAAGTCGGGATCCCACTTGATCTTAGTTTCCCTATGGATGCCTCAGACGGGACCTGCTCGCTGCATGACTTGAGATGGCTAAGTCAATAGCGCGCAAAGTCGGCTAAACTCGCCGCCTTGTCGTTTTCACTCGAGCAGTGATCCATACGAGATGTACCAACCATGTCGAACCCTCTGGTGGATACAACGCAACAATTTACAGCTCAGCCACACCCCACTTGTCACGGGTGACCCTGCTGCATAGTATTGACATTTACAGAATGTCAACAAGCATACTAGCTCAGCAGGTAACATTCTTCGTCGTTGCTGACACACTGCTCATTAACTGATAAAAGCCATGGCATCAGCCGATGAAACCACCGACTTTTGCCAGATACGTGCAATGAGTGGTGAGCAAGCTGTCAACGTACATGATTTAGTTGACTACAACGAAAGTGGTATTTGTAGGATTGTTCGAATAGCTTAGCTATAGTATGGACAGGCCTTCTGGATTACACTAACGCTATCTGGCAATTGATCGCACATCCTCTCATTTCCAGTGGACGAGAAAGTTTTGTGGAGCGCTTGGCAACACTGTTGTCAGTGTAAATTATCGTATGCGAGCTGTGGTGTACCCTCGTTTCCTATTACACCTGGTAGCAGTTTATCACCCGTCTTACGATCACGAACCATCCACCACGGACAGGCTTGCTGAGAATAGCTTTCACGCCACACGTAAATGTTTAGCCCATTTTTGAAAGATGTGGAGCGGAAAGCAAAGCGGCGAGACGCAGCTGCCTCGATAAATAATGACACTTGTATCTCTGACGACAAACTAGCTACGTACCACGATATGCGAGCTTATCCAACATGAACTTGTCACGGCTAAAGAACAATCATCTCACGTCCCCCTGACCTGACCATCAAGGTTATGAACATCCAAGATGTGAAAAAAATAGCGTACGTCATTTTACACTGCTTAGACAACAACTAGAACGTCTTTTATTTTGTTGCCAATTGGACAAGCATGCATCGCACCGAAGGTGAAAGATTGACGGGCTTGAGTATAAGGTAGTCGAAATGGAATTTTTGTCAGGTGGTTCGTCAAAATCAGTAATGACAACACAGCTTGTCACATCAAAGAAGACGCTACGAAGGTAAGGTTCAAACTGTCTGACATGGAGAAACGTGCTGACACTTGGGTCTTAAAGCTCAAACTTTACGACCCATATAGTCACGATTGCATTAAATAATTACGGCGCGTCTCCGATCACTTGTGAAATGGTGTTGCATCGAATCAAGGGTTCACGCAAAGCTTCTAAGATTGAAGCAGGCTGACCGTGATTTACACGCTTACGCTCAGCACGCATGACATCTCGTAAGTTGTAGTGTATCGAAGCCTAGCGGCGAGCAAACACAGATTACTGCGTTTGCCAAGGGTCTTGTTGATGGTTGCGCCACCTCATATGTTATATCTAAAGCTGGTGTTCTCGACCGATTGAGCTACTAAGTATAAGTGTAAAGCGTCATTTTGGTCCATTAGCATGCTAACTCGGCATCATATTCTCCACGTATAAGACAGTAAATTGAAGGTCCATAGACAACAGATCTATGCCATGTTGAGAGCGAGAGATCTGGCACTTAGCTTCTAAGCGATCGTAAAAGCGCGAATACATCCAGAGCACAAGACAACACGCTAACGGTTGCAGTGATCGGCACACGCTTCATCTATTAAAGCGATTAGTAGAACGAAAATCCATCAGTCAAGCAGTTCGGTATGTGGATCGGACGATGTTGTGAAGTCACAGTGGTGAACAGGGTCGTCGGTACCAGTTGGGGTAGGTACTGGCGAAGCCCCTATTGATTCAGCGACGTCATGATTACATGCAGGTCTCTATACGGACGATGCTGTCAACATACACTCACAATGTAGTACTTCTCCTTTGGATGAGAAATCAATTTTCACCTTGTAGATCGAAGCGACAAATGATCGTTTACTTAGCGCCCTCGTTTGAAATGTGTGCAATACATTACTTCGTCCATCTTCAGTCTCTAGATGATTGTATCAATAAGTCCTGTAAGCGCGACATCCCTCCCATCATCCTCCAATGAGGATGGTGAGCTCTCTTACAGAATCGTTGTAAAAGTAAAGATCGTGTAGTCGGGATCCAGTCGAATTTATCGATTGTACAGTCAAAAGTATGTTTTATCGTAAGAAAATTTCGTGACAAGTTTGGTGTCGTAATAAATTACTACTGCTTAGAACCTATAGGCATTGGTCAGATGGTGGTATGAAAATGTGAAGATACATACCACTTGTCTCGTCTGATAGTCATCTGCTGAACCTCATAGAGTGTCCACGAGCAAGTGAACGTTTTACCAGTGAAGTTGATGACTAAAGCTTGTAGAAATATTGTCAGCTCTCGAGCTCAATGAAACTTAACGAAGAAGATCGCTCTATGGGTAGCAGTACACTAGTGAATGTGCAAAAGTACAGGCAATGGGCCGAAGAATTATCGACCGAAAAAGTCGAGTAAACAGTACACGGAAGCTCGCCTGGAGCAAATAATCCAAGGAAGAATGCATACGGCTTGCCCTAGTGACAAAGTTGTTAACATAGAATGCCCAAAGAGTACATCGTGAAATCAGAGCTGTAATTGCACAGCCACCACTCAAAAAAACTGTGGGAGTAAGTCCCAAAGAAGAAGCTGAAACGTCGAGAATGCCGTCTGATAAAAATCATTGATCTTATGTGCCTATAATATTGACATGATTGCTACAATATTTTTACTATTAAAAATCACGCAAACTCTAACAATCCATCCTAATGTTTTTTGCGCAGGAGGAAAGTCCAGAAGATATGCATACTTGCCACAGAGTACGAGTACGTTACCAGCATTGGTCGATCAGTCATTTCATGAGACGGATGTGTTCTTGCCAGCCAATCGATCGGCAAAAGTATCATTAATGACGACATTCGAATTGATCACCGCACATCTTGATGATGACAAACGCATACAGCAAATTTTATGTATGAGGATTTGGTGGGGGTATACGATGTATCATGTAAATTGGTACAATGCGATCATTGCATGGGGGAGGAATCCCGTGCACGTCAGTAGATACACCTAGTGGAATGATCAGTAGTGCATGGTTTTAATAAACGCACATTTACGCCCAATTACACCCAGCTGATAGGTTGCACGTTACGAAGCCATTTAATGAAGATTGAGTCATCAAAACAAGCATCCAATGCACTTGCAAAGACGTGGAAAAATATAAATGCCTTATTACGTATCAGATGAGACTCGAGCTTTAACTAAGCTCGTTTTGCTAGAGAGGTCTCTTTAGGTGCACAAACGAAGTTGTTTGAGTAGAACATACACGTAACAATCTATTACAGGCATGTTCAAGTCTCTATTGACAATCAACGCAGCTTGAAACGTGTATGGGATGTCTCAAACATACACACGGGTAGCGATAGGATTTCTTTACTATCCCACACATCTAATATTCTTCATGTTGTAAGCAAGTGCATTCCAGATGTAACGGGGTTACACGTCGACTGGTAGTCTACAATAGGTGTGGTACACACAAGGGATGGGATCCCATTTTAAGTAATGTTAGAACACAAGTATCAATTGTTGAAGACTGATGTCTGTCAACCATTGATTACAAGATCTTTTAATAGGTTTATTTAGGAAATAAGTGAGTAGGTTTTTTACGTTGTTCTAAGGTGTTCATTTAGGTTAAAATAAGAAATAATATTCAGTTCCCATTTTGATCAACAAAAGACACGTGCCTCTCTGAGGCGTCTTGCGATCGTAAGGAAGTAGCAACGCCTTGATAAGGCAGCTACTCCTTATGCACTCAGTGCGTTTGATCCTTTGAATCGTTTGGTACCCCTGTAACAGGGACCGTAAGCTCTATGAGCTTGTTGACTTTTTGAGTCGGGTTCTTTGAACCAAACCTTAGCTCTAGGAGCTGTTGACTCTTTTATTCGGGTTCGTAGAACAAAAGTTGCTCATTGAGTGTTAAGTCTTCCTCTGACTATAGGAGCTGTGTAGCTCCGCTACACCAGACATGTACAAGCGTAATACCATCGCGTTTTTGGCTCACGATTGATGAAACACGCATATTTATTCTGGTACAGTTCTCATAATAGTTTTTCGATAATATCCTGCGCTATCGGAAGTGATGTCCCCCAAAAAACTAATGCTGTCTCTTGATTATACAATCGTCTAAATGAATTAACGAGATCAACCTTCAATTTGTTGAGCAGTGTCCAGAAGTCGTCATGATCGTTCAACGTAAACATAAGTGACCGCAAAATCGACACCCTACTTGCCTGCACGTGGAGGAGGCAGAAATACGGGCGGCTATTTGCCGGAGCGGTCACCCGGCGCACCCCCCGGGTCGTCGAAGGTCCTTCAGACAATTTCGCAACTACGGTCAGTACAACTCATAATGAGAGGCTGCCATCCGCTCTCAAGATACCAATGAACTTTACTAAGCCTTTGGGTCGCCTTACCTTGGCTTGAGCACAGCCACTGAACAGACCCGACCGGTCTGAGATACGACTGAGAAAACTACAACCGAGAGGTTACCGACCCCGCACCTTTGGCCAGGTCAACGCA